CCCAAGGATAAAACCATAGTTTCAAATAACAACAAACTAAAAGGCCCAAACAAATGGCCAACTTAAACAAGAACTAACTGGGCCTAGAAGCCCAAAACCCGAAACCCTAACGGACGCACGCGCACAACCTGCCAAGAGCGGCGCCGCCGGAATCTCCCCACCGAGATACAACTCGATACTTTCATCATCGCCGGGAACCATCCAACAGAGAGCATCATCGAAAACCTCGAGATCTCATCCGAAACCCAACCGACAGAACCACCAAACCATCACACAAACACCACACCGATCTATGAGATCACTAGAGGAATTAAACGCACTCAATCAATCTTTCATCTCCGACAAACTAAGCGGTAACAGATGATAGATCGAGAGGCAGAGTACCAAAAGAAGCACAAACTCATAGATCTAGAAAAACCGGAACAAACCGACGGAAAAGGAAACCGACGAAAGCAATATTGAAGAAACTACTGCATCCCGGGAAACAAAACCGACGACAGCGGTGCTGTAGGAGCCACCGCCTCCCGGAGACTTAAACTGGCGAAAACGATGCTTAGAGAGCCACCTCCTCCCAGAACCAAAACCGACTACGGCGAAACTGAAGGAGCTTCCACCTCGCGGAGACAAGGACCGGCGGCGACAGAGCTGACCAAGCCTCCACCTCCCGGAAAGACCAAACAAGACGATCTACTTCACCACACCATAACCTCTACACGTCCGCGTCTTCCCTCCAAAACATAGCCATCGCGTTTGGAGGCTAGCCAGAGCTCGGACAAGGCGGAGGAGCGAAGGAGCCGGCGAACAATTGCAGGGTAAACGATTTTAAAGAAGAAACGGAGGGCTCCGGCGACGGTACGCACGCTCACGCGCCGACCGGTCGCCGGACCCAAGGTAAGATCTGTTTTCTCCCTTTTGAAAACAGAAGAAACAATTAAGTGATATTTTTTAAAAAAATTACATATATAGATTTCAAAAATAAATTTTTAAACCCTTAAATCCATAAAAAAAAAAACTAGGTAGAATTGTCAGAAAATCGTTTTAATCTCTCTAATTTCCAGTGCTGGTCCTGTGCTTATAATATGATTTTTTTATTTGAAATCATGATATCTGCAGGTAGTGTAGACTATCAACAGTTTTAAAGAACTGTAATCTATTGTAGAAGATTACAAGAAAAATTACTAGCTTCGTATACATTTCCAAGAAGATCATGACAAAACCAACAAAATTATGTCTGCAACGAAACATTTGTTGTCAATCAATAAAATGGGTTCATAAGCAAAAAGAACTGTGGAAAGTAATGTAAAGGTTAAAAAATGCGATGGTGAAACGTAGTAAAACTAATTTTGAGCCAAACAAAAGTCTTGATACACACACACACATACGCAAACAGCTAATGATATATATGAATCATCTCATCATTTGATGATACTGTTAGAAAAAGTCGCATACATTTTGATAAAGTAATGTCACGTTGAAAAATATTAACTAATTCTTAACCACCCACAAAATGACAAACTAGTCAATTAGTTCAGTATCACCTGCAACGATGACAGACAACAACAGACACAGAATCGAAGCAGATACAATGTTGGGATTTGACCCCACTATAATTGAATGGAGACATGCAGACAAGTCATAAAACACAAAGTCTCTCTAACGTCTTAACATAAGCCTCTCTCCATGTCAGTCGACGCAGAGAGCAGCTTGCTGTTGCCTGTAGACAGAGTTGATAAACTGACATGCCTGGATCTTCGAAACGGATCATTCACAGAAGAACTCAAGCGGCTTATCTTCTTCGCCGCTCCTATGGCAGCTGTGGTCGTCGCTCAGTTCACGTTACAGATCATCTCAATGGTGATGGTTGGTCACCTTGGAAACTTATCACTCGCTAGCGCCTCCTTAGCTTCTTCCTTCTGCAACGTCACTGGCTACAGCTTCATCGTATATATTTCTCTTACCTTCTTTCTGTATATTGATACACTTAGAGCACCCCCATTGAGAGTTCAAATGGGGGGTTCACACGGAAACCAAAAAAATAAAATAATAAAATAACAAAATCCTATGAACCCCTCTCTCCTAAAGTTCTCTCGGGTGAACCTCTCTCTCCTGAGGTTCAACACGTGGCGGCTCGGGATTGGTCTAGATTTTTTTTTTCTTTTTTTTTTAAAAAGAAAAATCAAAAAGAAAATAGAAAAATTTTAATAAAAAAAAATTGTTTCAATGAACCCCAAGAGGGGGTTCATTGATGTGGATGCTCTTAGTTACCATCTCTTTATTTTGTTACTTCTTTTTTTTGCATGTGATGCTAGATAGGGTTGTCATGTGCCTTAGATACACTGAGCGGTCAAGCTTACGGAGCTAAGTTATACCGGAAACTAGGTGTTCAGACATACACAGCTATGTTCTGTCTTACATTAGTATCTATCCCTATCTCTATCATATGGTTCAACATCAAAAAGCTTCTTGTGTTCCTTGGTCAAGACCAAGCTATTGCACATGAAGCCGGTAGATATGCTGCCTGGCTCATCCCTGGACTGTTCTCTTACGCTATCACACAGCCTCTCACTCGTTACTTCCAGAACCAGAGCATGATTAAACCCCTTCTCATTACCTCTTGTTTTGTGCTCTGTCTCCACGTTCCTCTATGCTGGCTTTTGGTTTATAAGTCAGGGCTTGGCTTTCTTGGAGGAGCTGTGGCTATGGGTTTGTCAAGCTGGTTATCTGCTATTCTTCTTGGATCTATCATGTGCTTCTCCTCTGCTTGTGCTGAGACACGTGCGCCTCTTACTAAGGAGATATTTAATGGTGTTGGAGAGTTCTTTAGATATGCTCTTCCTTCTGCTGCTATGGTTTGGTAAGTGGCTTTCAACTTCTCTGATGTCTCCACTTTTTTTTAAAAAAAAACATCTTTTATGGGTTGTTTGCAGCTTAGAGTGGTGGTCATTTGAACTCATAATATTACTCTCTGGTCTCTTACCCAATCCAGAACTAGAGACTTCTGTGCTCTCTATCTGGTAACTTCCCCTTTGCATCTACATTTTCATGTCACATTTTTGAATCTGTTAAGCATAATATTATTCAAATCTTGCAGTCTCCAAACAATTTCGACAGTCTCTGCAATACCAATTGCAATCGCGGCTGCAGCAAGGTTAAATTTTAATCATTAACTCTGCAGATCTTCATGGCACTAAGCGGATGTTTTTCTTGTGCAGCACAAGAATCTCAAACGAGTTAGGTGCTGGAAACTCTAGAGCAGCACAGATTGTGGTCTACACGGCAATGTTTCTTGCAGTTATGGAATCACTGGTAGTGAGTATGTCTCTGTTAGTAGGAAGGAATGTTTTTGGTTATGTTTTCAGCAGTGATGAGAGAACCGTCGACTATGTTGCAAAGATGGCTCCGTTGCTCTCTGTTTCTATCATACTTGATGGTTTACAAGCCGTTCTCGCAGGTCCTATTTCTCATTTCAGATACAAATTATTCTCATATATATATATATATATATATTTTAATAAAGTTCAGTTCCTCCACATTGAAGTGTACTAGAGATCATTTTTTTTCTTTTGAATGAAGGTACTTGAGATCATTAGTACACACATAATATGTTTTGAAGAAGCTAAGCAAACACATCTAGTGTTATTCTTTTAACAGTAATCCATACAACGATTCATGAGAATTTCAATCTATGTACCCCATATATCTTAGCATGCCACTTGACATGGTACCTACTTGTTACTTCATGTTTCTGCTTCATGTACATCTTATGTTGGATCAGCTTCCACATTACTGAACCAATTCATCTTCATTATAATATGCATATGGATCTCTCAACATATGTCCTAGTGTTCATGTCTACAACTGTTACAACTGTTGTGCCCTTTCAGTCTTGTGTTGTGTCAAAGTAGTTACACTCTTTTTCTGCCACTCCTAATCCTGGTTTGAATGGTTTAGCAGGTATTGCAAGGGGATGCGGATGGCAACATATAGGGGCTTACATCAATTTAGGATCTTTCTATCTATGTGGGATACCCTTTGCAGCAACTTTGGCCTTCTGGGTTAATCTAAAAGGTGTTGGCCTTTGGATTGGTATACAAGCTGGTGCCGTTCTGCAAAATTTCCTGTTGGGTCTTTTCACAGGCTTCACAAACTGGCAAAACCAGGTCCTCCTTTTTCCCTTTTTTCTTCTTATGTTGTCCTTCATTACTTGTTTCTATTGTTGAAAAGACATAGATTTTCAACTGGTTGCATTTTTTTTGAACTCTAGGCCTTTGAAGCAAGGAGGCGAATGACTTTGGCCTAAGAACACTTACCTAGTCAGAACTCTGTACCTAAAGATTACATAAGAGGCGCTTATGCTCCTCCTGTTTTACCATGTTTCTAGTAGTCAAATCATTGTATGTTACTAGTGGACTAGTGTTGTAGCAAGACTGAACATCCTTCATGTATAGTTGTTTCCACCAAGCTTAGCTTCTGGTTTAACATGTTTTCTATTTGCAGTAAGCTAATCTTCATTTTCATTTTACTTTGAGGTTTCTTTTTGCATCTACATCATATTATCCCATGTGTTTATTACTAAAAATATAACGGTCATTAACGAATACAGCTTTTTGAAAAATGTTACTCTTTACTTGTGATTCAAGCTTGTAAGCAGAGATAATGAGACTAATAGCGCGGGAAACTAATTGGGTCCCACAAGATTCAACAACCACCCTAACGAACTCATAACCGCTTTCTTCAATCTTTCTTCTTTACAACTCTCTCTTTCTTCAACTTCGCAAGTCAACAGCAATGGCGACTATCTCACTCGCGATCTTTCTCGCCGCTCTCATCCTCTTCATCCCCCACTCCTCCGCCGAAATTCCACTAGAAGAATTCGAAAGAGCCATCACAGTGCTCCGCGTCAGAGGCAGAGCTCTCTTCGCAAACGCGATCATCACCTCCGATCTCCTCTTCGATCTACTCTCCGTCGAGTCACTCACTCTCTTCGTCCCCACCGACTCCATGCTCTTCGATCTCGACATGACTCACTCTTCCTACTTCTACGTCTCCACTCTCCGCCTCCACTCCGTCCCTCTCCGCCTCCCGTTCTCCGATCTCCGCTCCCTCCCGAACGCCACCGCTCTCCCGACGCTTCTCCCCTCTCACCACATCCGTCTCTCTTCCTCTAACGAATCGATTTACCTCGACGGTGTCCCGATTCTCCTCCCTGGTTTGTTCTACGGCGAGCATCTCGCCGTGCACGGTCTCGACGGTCTTCTTTCCCTCGCGACGACGACCTCTTCGTCGCCTCCCGAACTCTCCGTCGATTTGCCTCCCCCTCCCGTCGTCGATTCGCCGGCTGAGTCGCCGTATGGTTCGAGATTCTCACCGGCGCCACAGTCTTACGATTACCTTTTTAGTATTTCACCGGCGGAATCGCCTAGGGTTGATGAAATCTCACCATCGCCGTGGAGAGAAGAGATGATCGGAGAGGATGAAGGAGGTCCGTTCGATTGGTGGAGTAACCGCTTCTGAAATACACGTGGCGTCATCTGTGTGAGGCGGGAGATTAATCTGTAACGGTTTCCTGTTAAAAGACCAAAAGGTCCCTTCTTCGATTGATAAAATTTTGTAATAGCTTTGATTCTGAAATTACATTCAATACAACATAATCATCAAGAACAAACACACTTAGACTTTGATAACCTAATATTTTCTAATGGATCATGAACATAAAATATAATTGCAATTTTCAGTATATCACATAAATAAGAAAAAATAATAATAAGAGTTGTACTAATGTTACTCAATAAAAAATATACAGAGAGGATGATTTTTTGTTTTATCTAGTCTGGAAGTTGAGAGTCTTGATACAAAAGGCAAAGATGAAGGCAAAGAAGACAGGGAAGGCAACAAGGACAGCTGCAACAGGTCCCATGAAGCTTGACTCAAAACCATATTGGTCTTTAAGATACTGTTTCACAGTTAGCCCAGGAGGACCATCAGGGAGAGAGATGAGATTGTCAAGATCACCATACTGAGAGGTGATCAAACCATACACAGTCCAAGCAACAGGGCAGATCCAGTAATACCATATCCACCACTTTGGAATCTTGGGTCTTGGGATAAAGAAGCCAGAGAACAGATTAAAAATACCATAAAAGGCTGAAGCAAAGATAGAAGCAACTTGCTGGTTTGGTGTGAGGGAGACAGTCATCATGCCATAGTAAGTCCAGTAGAGGAATGAGAAGTAGTTAATGAAGAGGAACCATAAGAACTTTGAAGCTTTCCACTCGAATCCAACCATTGCGTAGACGATAAGAGAATAGTATGTGGTCTGAACAAAGACATAAGGTATCTCACAAGTCACTTGAGAGATGGCGTAAGGTATAGCTGAATACATCCCTGCTGCTTTTTCTCTGTAGAACACGGTCCTTTCCACTGCAACCATTGGTTGAACTGTTGAGCAGTTGTTTACACCAACGAATATAACTGCCGCGTAGATTGCTCCTAACACCATCGTCAGCTCTTGTACGTTTGATCTCTTACGACCTATTTGCCAAAAGACAGTACCGATCAAAAGAGATGTTGCTAAGGTGAAGATGAACCGGACAACGTTGTAGTCAGGAGATCTCCAGTAAGTCCACCATTGCTTCCAGAGACATGATTTGTATTGTCCCCATGTGTTCTGTGAGAACTGCGTGGTAAAGTAGAGATCAGATGCTCCTTGTGGAGGCACGCTTAGTTCTTGTACCAGCTGCTTATTTCGCCTGTGTCAAGTATCCATATGTTAGTAAAGTGTGGATCTATCACATTCACATCATTGAATAATATAAAGAGTTTTGTTATGTTCACTCACTGGCATAAAGAAGAGTTGTTGTAAAGCTCAGCAAAGTCAACTCCAAGCTTCAACTCAGCTGCTAGGGAGCTAGCTTCAAGCATCCAAGTGGCAGGATTGTACTTTTCAGGGATCTTTGGAACTCCAGGAATGGCTTCAAAATACTCAATAATCTTGTGAGAGTTTGTACCTAAGGGACCTGAGTATATAACTTGTCCTCCTCTCTTCATTAGTAGTAACTCATCAAAGGCTTCAAAAATATCAATGCTAGGTTGGTGGATGGTGCAGACCACAGTTCTCCCTGTGTCCACTGTGTTTCTGACAGCTCTCATCACAATAGCTGCTGCTCTAGCATCCAACCCTGAAGTAGGCTCATCCATAAAAATGATTGAAGGGTTGGCCACAAGCTCAACAGCTATAGTTAATCTCTTTCTCTGTTCAGTGGAGAGCCCAGTGACTCCAGGTAAACCCACAATAGCATCTCTCAAGTCCACCAACTCCACTAACTCCATGACTTGATCCACAAACATCATTTTCTCATCTTTGCTTACTTCCTTAGCAAGGCGAAGGAAAGCAGAGAAAATTAGTGATTCTCTTACGGTAACTTGTGGAGAATGGATGTCTGTTTGTTCACAGTAACCAGAGATTCTAGCGAATGTTTCTTGTTTCTTTGGGAATCCAGACACTCTTATGTCTCCTTCTATGTATCCTCCTGTTTTTCTCCCTGCTAAAACGTCCATCAACGTTGTCTTGCCTGCGCCACTTACACCCATCAAGGCCGTCAACACTCCTGGCCTAAACGTGCTTGTGACACCTTTTAGTAGTTGCAGTCTAGTTTCTTGAACTCCTTGGTCCCTCATCTCCTGCATCATTAAAGTCTCACATGAGTTTTTTTTTTCTCTTTTTACATAAATAATATATCAACTAGTTTTTTACAAAAGATTACCGCAGGCATGTCAACAAAGTATTTAACATCATGAAAGGACAGAGCTAGAGGAGTGAAAGGAAGCACCATTCCTCTCTTGGTGTTCATATTCTCCATTGGAATCTCCTCTGTTTTGTAATATTAGTTAGTATTAACTTTCTTTTTGTTTGTTTTTTTTCATATAAGTTCTTGTAGAAACAAAGTAATACTTACTCTTGGATCCATCTTGGTCTTCTTCTTTTGGGAGTATAGCTTGTGGCTTCCCAAGAGCTGTTATTGTTATGATGCATATATGTTAATATCTTTATAAGCTGGTGACAGTATAAAGAGATTGAATACAATAACAAAAAAACTTACGGTCTAGATAAGTAAGTGCTAGAGTAAAAAGACAGTTGAAGAGGACAGCAAAACCAAGCAAGGCTCCAACTCCTACCCAATACCAGTTCTTGTCATCAAACACATCCCATATGTTAAGCACTGTTGTCCCTAACCTTGTAGTGTTGTCAGAAGACTGCAAAAAAACAAAAAAAATGAGGCCTTTGCAGTTTTACTTTGTTATGATTAAGTAGAGTCTTAATTACCATTTTATTCATCCATCTTGGAGAAAGCAGTTCAGTGTTGCTGATGGCACTGAAAGCATATGAAAGAGGTGATACCCAAAAAGCCCACCTCCACCAAACCGGGATCTCACGTCTAGGAAGAAGGAAACCACCGGTTAAGAACACAACTAGTAGAACCAGCATACCACCGGTATTAGCTATGGTCATGGTTCTACAAATAGAAGCAATGAGCCTGAATATCCCAGCAGCCATCTGTTGGATCAGAAACACGACCAAGAACTGTTTAAAGAACCGGTCTGCTTCAGGTGCAAAACCTATAGAGTAATACGTCACACCCATCCAAGCAATAGTCTCAAAGATAGAGATCGGTATCCCTAGCAAGAAAGTGGGAAGCGTATACGTCCAAGGTGGATGAAACAAAAGATCTCTTTGCTTGTAGAACACGGGAAGTCTCTGTATCGTCATAGCCATCTCAGCAAGACCGTTGAACATGTTGACAATCATACCGAACAGGAGTGCACTAACGTACATGTTGGCGTCACTCTCGTTCCTAGTGTTCATTTCTGTTCTGAGGAAAACTGTTGAGGTGATTGCTGCGATGATGATGATTTGGACGGTTTTGAAGACGTAGAAGAAGGAGTTTCGTTTCATGAGCATCCACTCTTTGTCCCAACAGGTTTTGAGAAGCTCAGACTTCTTCACTGAGTACTTGTCAAACACTAGAGCTGCTTTGTGTCCTTTAGATTTTTCGAAGGGTACTGATAACTCGTTGCAGAGCTTGGTTCCAACATGGAAGTTTTTGAATTTGTTGGCGAATTCATGCACTGGGATGTATCTGTAAGGTCTTCTTTGATCCACCCAGTACTGTTCTTGATCCTTCTTAGAGGTAACCTGTTCCACACGTAAAGTGTTATTAGTATGAATACCACCAATCTATAGATAGACATGTATATTTTAGGGCATAATCTTCACATAGCAGTTTCAAAGTTTTTCCAAAATAACACCAAATGATTAAAATTCTCAAAATAGCATTCATTTAAGAAGAAAATACTAAATTACTCTAACTTCTAAACTCTAATTTCATACAACCACACCATAAGTACTAAATCATAAACCCTAGATTACTATATCCTAAACTCAAATATAAATTATATATTTGTTATTTATCTTTAAGAAATATATTTTATGATTTTTATATATTAGTTTGTCATAAACCCACAATTCAAATTTTTTTTATAAAAAAAATTCATTATATTTTACCTCTTGCAAGAAATCAGCAGTTCCTTTTCTTTCAGGACACCTGAAGCCAAAGCTCTCAAAGAACTCAAGAATGTGGTCTCTAGGTCCCTGGTACACAATCTGTCCCTCTGACAATAAGATTATATCATCGAACAGATCAAACGTCTCGGGAGCAGGCTGAAGAAGAGAAATGACCACGGTAGCTTCAGTGAGGTGAACAATCTGTTGCAGGCATTTCACTATTTGGAAAGTGGTGGAGCTGTCAAGCCCTGTGGATATCTCATCCATAAAGAGTGTCTTAGTTGGCCCAACGATCATCTCACCAGTTGTCACACGCTTCTTCTGACCTCCTGAGATACCTCTCATCATGTCATCCCCAACTATAGTGTCCTTGCAAATGTCAAGCCCTAGAATCTGTTTCATCAAACGTTGTCCACAAGAAACTTTTATAAGTATTATGAGATAAAGGGGTTACTAGATGATTTATCTGATAAGTTGAATAAAACATAAGGTCATCTGCATCAGCGAACCGGAAGGGATGAGGTTCATAAGTAATATTTTTGATTATTTTATTATATTTTTGTTGTATGCTTTATTTAAAAAAAAATAGTAATCGAATCAATTGTAGGCCACCACGTGTCATGGGATCCGCAAAACAGTTATGATATGTGTTCACGTCGGAGACCTCTGCGAGCCGAATTCACCACTTACAATTATTATAATATTTTTTTCTTCTTGGAATACGTGAGACCTTCTCTCATACACCTCTAATACACATGCTCTAAGAACTATCCCTGCGGATTTGAACTAAACCGAACCCGCTTAACAGAACCAACCTGAATTTTTGGTTTAGGTTTGGTTTAGAATTAGGTTTATTTGGAAAATTATTTTAAAAATTCATTGGTCTGGTTTGGTAATTGATTATTCCGGTTTCCAAAAAAAAAGTATACCCAAATTGTACCAACTTCTTTCA